CGGCCGGCTGACCCGAGGCACGCCAGTGGGCTGCGCCGCCTGCGGGCCGACCGGAGGCTCGCCGGCTGCGGCAGGTGTGGCAGGCGCACGAGCTAGGCGGCCTGGAAACGTCACGAAGCACAAGCGTGGCAGGCTGGATTACTGCGTCGGAGAAGCAGTTCCGAGTCGGCCTCTGACTTGACTGACTGCCGTTGGCTGCATCTGACACTGGCTCACTGGTGTTGTGATCGAGAGTGTTGTGGTGGTAGATTTTCGATGACCGAGGCCGTTGTTTGAGTTCCTCTGTACTGGCAGTCGTACACGTATTTGAGCGGAGAGGCTTTTGACGGGAAGTGTGACGATGTATGAGGAGTTTGGTACAGCTGGTGGCGATGCGAGAGGGCGACGCGGCACGGTCGGTCAGGCATTCGGCCCTGACCGCGTGCGTGGCAGGAATCACATGGTTGAGTAACTGTATTTATTCAACCCATTTTTTCTGCATGACTGCACACTCGCTCCTGTCACCGCCGCCCGCCCCAGAATCCGCAGCGGCATGGAAAGCTGACAGTCTACGTTCGGCGATAGCCATTGTGACGTCACGGACGTCAAGCGGGGCGGGGCGCAGCGCGTGCGCATGTGCACAGCCGGGAATCGCTGGTACTCTGCATGGCCGTCGGAATGACCCTGCTCAGTGACCGGTCGCCACTGGTGCCACCGTCCGCCAGTGCTGGACAGCTGACCACGGCGCCGGGTGGTTAGCTCGGGAAACGGAGCACTGACATATACACACGGTTTTGCAGGGTCCTGCGAAATCCTGCAGCCACCTAGAGAGGCCTTCTGTTTCCAGCGTTCGCCGTTCGGTTGCGTCCCTCAGTCTCACAGGACAGCTGTCTGTTCGCCGTCTTTGCTGGTCGGTTGCGGTCTCGTGCAGTCTCCCAGTTCCATCCTCCGTCTGCAGCAGTCGGGCGCCAGGCTGGTCTCCGTCGCCGAGCCAGCCCAGCCCGTCACGCCTGCGAGCGGCCGCGGCAAAAATCGCCGACCGCGGGTTGACACTGCTTCTGTCGCGCAACAAACACAACCCAAGCCGCGCCGCCACGCCACTCCCCACCACAGCCTACCGCTGTCGGCTGCGCCGGCCGCCACAGCAGCCTGCCGGGCTTGTCCCGTGCTGTTCGCGTATTTGGGCTCCGTTTCGGGTATGTATGGAGACCGATCGCCGCCGATGAGCGACGGGCCTGTGACGTCAGCGGGTAAATAAAGCGCGCGCCCTGCCCGTGTGGCGGGCGGGGCGGCCGCGATGCCGGCGCCGAGAGTGATACAGGCGACTCTCATCAGAGAGTGGTACAACAGGCGACCGCCGGATTATCAGAGAGTGGTACAACAGGCGACCGCTGGCGCATCAGAGAATGGTACAGGCGACCGCCGGCGCATCATTTACCCTGCTAGCGTTGCCGTACGTCTATGTATGGAGTGGTTTGACTGATGGATTGCTTGTGTAACTTTGAACAGCTGCATTTACATTCTCCGGGCTGTCGGAGAACGCTGGCAGCGTCACCGCGCCAGCGCCCTATGCTGCTGATGTCGGGGCGTGTGGATGGCGCTCATGATCAATGGGCTGCACCAGACAGCCAGCGCCTCCATTGCACCCGGCCTGGTCCAAGCCCGCAACAGGACCGTGTGAATAGTGGACTCTGCGGCTGACCTTCCTGACAGCGGTAGATGAGGGCGCTGGCTCCAGACCATATGCCCTTCCGCCAGCACCGTCAGTCCTCATGTTAACATGGTACCGGTAACGTAAACATATCTGCAGAATTGTCGCAGACTGCATGCGCTCCGCCGTCAAACACTGCCGCGAGTCTGCCGGCGACCACCGCGGCCCGCGTGGCGGCCCGACTGGGTCCGTGCCGACGCCGTGTCGCCGTCAGGTACGCGCGTTTCTGGCGTTGGCTCCTGATGGGACACGTGGCCAGCCGCTGGCATGAGCGGTGCAGGTGGCGCGGCGCCGGCTGCGTGCCGTACCGCGCGCCGCCGCGGCCCGGCGCCGGCGACGGCCCGGGCGGCTGGCGACCTCGCCGCCTCCCGCCGACTGCGGTCGTGCAGCAGAGCTCTGGTGGCAGGCGCGCGAGCGGACCGCGGTGCCGGCGCCGACCGTTTTGGCGCGAAGGTCGGCCGTGCCGGGCGGTGGCCTCCTGCGTTTACGGCCGTGTGACCTCCCACCGACCCAGTTACCGCGCCGGCCGCCGGGGCTGACCTTCACCGCTGAACCGGTGCGCCCTGATGTCGTACCGGTGACGAGGTTTGGATGAGCACCGGCTCACCGCAGCCCGGTGTGGCCTCCCTGGACGCGTCTCACGGGGGGAGGAGGGGCGAGGGGATGGGAACGGGACGTGTCGGACAGCGGGTGGCTCTCCGTACACCCGACGGCAGAGAGGCGGGACGTCTCGGGAGAGCGGGCGGCCCTGCGTCACGTTCGCCGTGGTCGGCGTCTCGTGTCCGGCGCGGCAGTCGGCGGGCGGCGGTGACGGCCTGACCGAGGCCACCGGCGCACCGCCCCCTCCGTGGGCGCCGAGACGGCGTCAGATGGCAGCCGCTATCCGAGCTGGTACGGCGCGAGGCAGTCTACGCGACCCGCCGGAAAGGAACGCCACCTGGCGTCGGCAACTCAACATCGGCCCTAGAGCGATCTCAGCGTGCTTAAGCCATGTGCAGAGCCCGTACGTTTGTGCACGGGTCTGGCATGCCGGTCAAAGTAAGGGAGATAAGCGTGCGCCGCGCGCCTTAAGATTTTACTGTGCCACAGTAATCACAGCATGAGAGACACGCATGACTTTCACTGAAACCTATTGCTTGACTATGGTGCACCAGTCTTGAGAACTCTGCAGTACACCAAACAAATGGCCAGAGCTCCGATCCCCGGCTACTTGCGGCATCACTGAGGCGGCATGTGCTCAAATAAGGAAGCCAAGGTCGCGTGTCAGTTTGTCAAAGGCCTTTGTGCACTTTCCGCGAACGTTTGATTTGCCGTTTGATCCGTGATTTCGAACAGGGCCTTCGCCCGTGCTATTTTCCATGAAGCTCTGAGCAATAGTGCCTACTGTGGCTATTAGCGCACCTCGCAGATGGTGAGTCACGCTCCCACCGGCGTCCAGGCCGTGTAAACAAGCGCGGCCGGGCGGCCACGTGGTCGGGATGCGGCGGGGCGCCCCGCCGTGCTGGCGTCGCCGGGCGGCCGGCGGCCGGGCGTCGATCGATGGCCGCTGACCCGCGGCCGGCCGCCGCCGCTGAGTCACGCTGCGGCGGCGGCCGGACACAGCAGCCGGGACACGCCCACCGGCACGATAGCCGGCCGGCCAGCGCTGGCCAACGGCCGGAGATGAGCCGACGGCCGGCCGACGGCCGCAGCGCGCCCGCTGCTGTCAGCCGCCGGCATGTTTAGCTCTGGCGGAGCCTGCCGATGAGCCTTGGGCTTCTGTGCCGACGCGGCTTACCGTGGCGTCAGGGTGAGCTGCTCGGCTCGTGCATCGGGTCATTCCATATCCCTGGACTCGCACGGGTTCGCACAGTACATTCAGCGTCCATGTGTGTGGATGTGTGCGTGCGCGCGTGCGTGCGTGCGTGCTTGCGTGTGTATGTATGTATGTATGTATGTGTGTGTGTGTGTGTGTGCGTGTGTCCGGCCGCCGCCCGCCGCCGCCGGCACGTTTGCCACAGTCGCTGTCGTCGCCGCCGGCGCCGCTAGCCGGCCGGGCGCAGCGCGGCCCCAGCTGGCCGGCCCAGGAAGCGGCGCTCCCCAACCCGTCCCGTCCGGCCTTCCGCCGCGCTGCCAAGCCAAACAGCCGGCGGTCGGTGCCGGCGCGCGCGCGCCCGCGCCCGCCCGGCTGCGGGAGACCGGTTTTTGCGGCCGTGCAGGGCTGGGGCCGAGAGGCGCGGGGCGACCAACGGCCGTGCCGCGTCGCGCCGCCGACTGCCAGCCATATTTGAAAACCTCCAGTGCACACTGGGACTGCCATGGGATGCCTTTTCGAACTGTCACAGTATTTTGATGCAGTGTACATGGATGAGCTATTTGGTGGCGCTTGGAATTGGTAATGTTGCCATCTGATTCCCCATGTGGTGGAAGCAGAACAAGTATGATCTCATGGCGAGGCTACCACATGGGCAGTTTCGTAAGGCGACAATTAAGCGCAAACTACTTTTGAATGTTACTGTGGAAGCGGAATTCCGACGTCTTGCCGGCTTACACGACTACGCACAGCACGGTGCCATCTGAAGATGAGGCAGGCTGGCTGCGCTGCACGAGGCTCATCAGTGATGGCGTTTATGTAATATACCTAAATATGCGCAGTACCACTCGACTACAAAGCAGTTTTGCCGTAATTTGACAATCATCTGATTTATGTGCACCGATGGAGGGTACGTTGTTCATTTCGGTTGCATCGCAAGGGTCGATACCACAACCATTGAATGGCTTTGCTTGTGGTAACGCGACGGGGAGTTAGCTGTAACTTGCCGGCTGGTAATCTGTACGGGGCATGTGGTAATGTCAGAATAACATGGTATCCGGGGCTGGTCTGGCGACACAAGGTTACGTTCCTCTCAGTGACCGAGGTCAGTTAGCCTGCACCGACGGGGTCGACGTCACTGCGGTCCGGCACACTGACGTCATTCAATGCGCACATTGATCGCCCGCGCTACCCCAAACACCCGGACTTCTGACCAAAGCTGACCGATTGAGCGCTTCCGTGGGCTCAGCCTTTATCCCATACTACGATGCAACCAAACACGATTTATGAGATGTCCGGCATCTTTCTTTTCACCCAGACCAGTTATTCGCCAAGTGGTCAGTTTATGATAGCCGTCCTTACTAACACATTCCTTCTTGTCTGTCACAACAAGGGAGTCATGGGCGTTGTACAGTGCGATTTGTCATTTGCTGTGTTGTTAAGTCTAGTCTTTTGTCACCTGCTTTGCGCACCCGCAAATGCTTATCCCGCCTGTTAACCTGGCCTTTCGGTTGGCAGGTATCCCAGAACGGTCTGGACATCATGGGCCTGCTGGTGGAGCGGATGAAGTCCGACTTCAGGCCGTACTTCAACGCCGTGCTTCCGGACGCCGTGGACCGGCTGGGTGAGTGACTCTGTCCTGGCTGGGCCGGGTGGCGGCGGCCCCGGGCTTGGAGCGGCGGTGGCCAGTCACGGACGTGACCTAGGCTTGTATCGGCACCTTGCGACGTCTCTTCACGAGGTAACAGTGCGTTCCGTCGCGGGGTGACGGCTCGTCTCGTCACGAGGTAACAGTGCGTTCCGTCGCGAGGTGACGGCTCGTCTCGTCACGAGGTGACAGTGCGTTCCGTCGCGAGGTGACGGCTCGTCTCGTCACGAGGTAACAGTGCGTTCCGTCGCGAGGTGACGGCTCGTCTCGTCACGAGGTGACAGTGCGTTTCGGTACGGCGTGACGGTACGTCTCGTCGCGAGGTGACGAATCGTCTCGTCACGGGGCGACGGTACGTCTCGTCACGGGGTGACGGCACGTCTCGTCACGAGGTGGCTAGATGTCGCCGACCGCGGCTGGTCACTTGGCTGACCCAAAACAAGGATACGCGGCGACGCGGGGCGGCGGCCAAACGCGCGCCGCCCCCTGGGGAGGGGAGGGACAACTGGGGCGCGTTACGCTGTCCTGAGAAGGAGAAGGAGGACGGCGATGCAGGCCTGTCGACTTCCTGTCTTGCGGCCAGTGCAGAATCTGCAAAGTGAGTCATGGGACCGCCACGCTGACTGGCATATGTGCTTCCTGTGTGTTCTAAAGATTTTAGTCCGTACCTTGTGAATGGATGTTGTTCTGGAATCAGAGTCCACGGGCCGCCCAGCCCTCTGATCTCATCGGACCTTATGCGCGATGGCTGCCACTGGTGGCGGGCCAACCCAGTTAGGGCAATAGCGAATGTCTAAAGCGATTCGAACTCGCCCTGCCACGGATGGGTCAATCCAAGGACAGGTGTCCTAGCCAACTGAGCTACCGGTCTGTTTATTTGTGTCTTCGCTTTGAGTCATGATTTAGCATGAGTGCCGTGTGATGGAATACCAGCGTGTCTGCGTCTGCCCTGCTCTCGTCTGCCGCCGGCCCCATGCGTCGTAAGTCGGACGTGTACCAGTCCCGCTGCCGCCGCCGCCGCGTCGCTCGGCTTGGCTTGGCTCGGCTCGGCGGGGCTCGGCTCGGCTCGGCTCGGCTCGGCTCGGCTCGGCTCGGCTCGGCTCGGCTCGGCTCGGCTCGGCTCGGCTCGGCTCGGCTCGGCTCGGCTCGGCTCGGCTCGGCTCGGCTCGGCTCGGCTCGGCTCGGCTCGGCTCGGCTCGGCTCGGCTCGACTCGGCTCGGCTCGGCTCGGCTCGGCTCGGCTCGGCTCGGCTCGCCGTCAACGGTGCGCGCCCGGGCTCGCCGGCCGGCCGCGCACTGCGGCGTATGGATCGCCGGAGCTCAGCGGCGGCCGGCGGCGGCCCGGTGGCCTGCATCGGCCCGTTGCCTTGACCCTACACTATGGTGACCTGCAGTGTATGGACGACCGGGGCGCCCCCCCCCCCCCGCAGTCGGCCCGTACCTCTGGCCCACTGAGCCGCTTTGGGACAACTCCGCGCTGAGCCGCTCTGGGGACAGCTCCGCGCTGAGCCGCTCTGGGTACAGCTCCGCGCGCTGTCCCTTCTCTCACGCCTGGCGTGTCGCCCCGCCGCAGGTGACGCCAAAGAGGGCGTGCGGGAGAAGGCGCAGATCCTGCTGATCAAGCTGATGCTGCACACGGTGACGCCACAGCTGATGTTCGAGCGGCTGACGACCGCCTTCTCCCACAAGAACGGCAAGGTGCGGGAGGAGCTGCTCATCTTGCTGCAGAACGCGCTGGCCGAGTAAGTGAGCCGGACGCAGAGCGGACGGCGGGGAGGGGAGGGGACAGAGCAGCGGCTCCCACAGAGTGTGACCTCTCACCAGACTGTCGTGGCCAGCGGCAGCTGTCGCCGCCGGCCAGCGGTGCTCTGCTGCGCGGCTGCATCGGCGGCCCGCAGCGCAGGACAGGCGCCGGCTGCTGGGATTTGCCCCGGTTACGAGCGGCAGTATCAGCTGGCGCGCGTGGGTCAGATGAGCTCGCCGTAATGACTGCCAAACCCGCAGTAAATGGCACGCGGCTCCCGCGACAGCTCACGTGCAGTTGACCGAAACTAACGAAGCAAAGATACCACTCCACAATCGATGCGTTCGCTAACGTTGTATGCCACCTCAACCAGCCTTTGTTTTGTGAATGAATGCAGTTACAATACCGGATATTTATGAAGTCAGTTAACGAGTGAGTGCCGTTGCCACCTTTTCGGTTCTTCGCTGCCAGGGCGAGAAAGCCTCATATCTCGTATCTTACCATCGCAGTTTCGAAACGAATTTTTGTTAAGGCCAATGCATTAGTATTCAGAGAGCTATTAAAAAGTAGGGATGCCATCTCGATACAAACCGATAATCGGCATGCGCATGCGCACATTGCATCCGAGTGCTGGCTGAGAACCCAGTGACGGCCCGTAATGACCGTGCAACGTCACACAGTCAGCCCGCGCCGTACCGGCTTTAGGCGTATGGGAGGAGTTGTACCTGCATGCGATACCACCCGGCGAAAGCAGTGCCCCGTCACCTGTCCTGAAGCCTCTGCGCTATGCATTTAGCGCTTGTTCTGGAGAGGCTGGCGAATGTGTCATAAGTTGTGAGTTGTCTTACAAAATGGCTATTAGTGACAATTAGTTTGGCCGAGTTACTCCAGCAGCAAGGATGGAACATATCTAGTGGAGGTCGGAAAGCGGAAACTCCTGCACTTTTCTGTGTTATGATTGATCACGGTTGTCACGTTTCTGCATGTCATTTGCACACCTGTATCACGTGCCCTTTCCAAAGTGCCGGAGGGTGTAACCCCGGAGCCGCCACTTCGATCGCGATTGATTTTTCAGTGAACATAGACGGCCCTCGCCTGATGCAGCGATTGGCGTGAGAGACGAGTGGACAGGTACCGGTCGGCTTGCCGCTCTATCCCATGAAGCGCACTGGACCTAATCAAACCGGAGCTGGCCCACTTGCTCCGTCCAGCTCGGGGATTTTATGACCTGGCGTGATCTTAAACGGGCTAACCTGATCGGATGAGCTGACCTGACCTGACCTGACGTGACCTGACCTGACCTCTGATCTGACCCGATGTGTCTGTGTTCGCAGCCACGGCGCACAGGCGATCCAGCTGTCTCGTCTCATTCCGTCCATTGTGAAGCTGCTGGGCGATCCGACGGCTCCGGTGCGGGACACCGCCTTCAACACCCTGGTCGAGGTGTACAAACACGTCGGCGAGCGGGTCCGTCTCGATCTGCAGAAGAAGCACAACGTGCCGCCCGCCAAGTGAGTGCCGCCCCCTGCCATGCGGCGCTTCGGAGGCCGCGCTCGCTCGGCGCGCTGCGAACCCCGGCCGCCCGGTTAACTCTCGGGGGCGGAGGCGTCCGGGAGTCACGCTCCGGTCGTCCTCCCAGCTGCCGCTCCTGCGCGCTCATACGTCAGTCGCCGTCTAAATGGTGCTCCTTTTTAGCCGCGCCCGGGCGCCGCGGAAATCGCCTCGGGCGCGTCTGGGTCGGCTGCGGCCCCGACTGAAGCCGGCCGCCTTATCAGCTGGTACAGGCGGCGGCGACGCTGCGCCTGCCTGGTCCGCTGTCCGGGCGCTGTAGCGTGTGACGCCGGCGCGCAGACGGCGCCGCGTTAGTAGGCCGGGCAGCGCGCGGGGACGTGCGTGCGGCCCGCCGCCAGCCGGTCACCACCTGTGCGGCGTGCGTGCCGCCGGCCCGGCACACAGCTGGCGCCGGGCCGGCCGCCGCCGCCCGGCGCCGGCGGAGAGGGCGCGCGCCGTCCCAATAAGGGAGCTGAGGCCGCGCCCGTTATGTATCGGCAGGCGTGAGTCCGGCCGCCTGCCCATTCAAACGTCGACGGGACGTGTTCGCCGGTATGCTGATGCACGCTGCCGACACGTCACGGTGGGCTGGGCGCTCTTGCGCCGCTTGTGGTGAGGCAGTGGCTCGCACTGCTGTGTAATGGACGAGCCAATGTTCAACGGGCCATCTTCACATTAAGCTGGTATTCAGGGCGAAGGCCGTGTAAGGTCTCTGGGGCTGCTGCAAATAAAATAACATGCTCCTGCCCGCCCGCTCGCCAGCAGCGAGCAGCGCTGGAGTCGGACCGGTTGGGTTTGCTTCCCAGTCAACTGCCAAAAGCGCTGAGCTGGGGGAGGGGGCTGATGGCGGATGGGTGTCGCCGGCGGACTGAGGTGCCGTCTGGAGCCTCGTCCCGTGCGCGTCCGCTGCCGGTGCGGCCGAAGCAGTGGGGCGACGGGCCGGATCGGGTGGACTCGTGCCGCAGCCGCGCGCAGCTAGGACGCCGCCATTACCACCGCCATACTGGGCACGGCTGGACAGCTCGGTGGATGGTGCTACCGTCGCCGTTACCGCCCGACTGATGACGGGCCTGTTCGGCGGATGGGGTGTCGAAGTGATGTATGGTGCGCCACTGTACTGTCTGCAGGCCGAGGGATATGCTGCTGCGATGTGTTGCGGTGGGCGGGGAGGCTGAGGTCGGCTTTGGACGCGGGCGCGCCTCCCCAGTGACTGGCGCTCGTGTCCAAATGCAGTACAGTTTGTGCGCAGTCTCCGTGGGCGTGGATTGAAAGCATCAACACGATGCTCGTATTTGCCCTTGTTAGTAACGTTAATCGTCCGAACGTGTTCGTGCAGGCAGCACTTGTGACCTGCACCGGCTCACCGCCTGCCCAAGGCTGGTCTGGCGTACCGCAGATCTGTGAAGTCAGCCCCCGCCCCGCTGAACACGCCCACTGGTGATTCACCGCCACCGCGCCCACGCGGGGCCGCCCCTGTGTGGAGCGTCGCCGGCGCCGCCCGGTCCGCTAACCCGAGCCGTGTCTGTCGCAGGCTCGGCCCGCTGATGGCCACCTTCGACCAGGTGAAGGAGTCAGGCCAGATGATGCCGACGGCCGTGCTCTCGCTGGGACCGGCCGCCGACGGTGAGTCGAGAGTCGCGGGGCCGGCCGTCGTCGCCGCCGCTGCCGCCCGCTCACCCTTCCGAAGCACGCGCGGCGACCATGGCGGTGGCCGCTGCGTGTTGTAGATCCTATCGAGCGCGTGGGCTCAAGGCCCCGCAGAACCTGTCGTAATAACGCCTTGTTTGTGCACTTGGCGCTTCAAAGTGTCGTTGCCGGACCGTGTCTCGTCGTGTCTTAGCTCGGGCTCAGCGTGCGGCTGCCCAGCTCGCTCGCGTCTGGCGGCCAGATGCGCCACACCAGCCAGATGGATGCTGTCCCGACCTTGTCGGATCGGGCCGGCAGAGCGTGGGAGTCGGGCTGGGGTCGACGCGCAGCCATGTGCATGTGGACATCTGTCGGCGGTGCGAACGTTCCTAGTTTATGCCTGGGTCGCTAGGTGTCAGGATGACCTCGTCAGCCGTCGTGCCCGGCGGAGCCCCTCCCCTTTCCCTGCGGACCGCGCGCTACAAATGGAATTGGAGTGGCTGCGACGCGTGCGTTGCCATTTTCTCTTGCCAGCTGGTGGAATATTGATTCACCGACCGTCATCACGCTGGGCGGAGGGCAACGTACTTCCGCTATGGACCCGGGGGCAGTTGTGGACGCAGCGTACTATCATTGAACACGAAAGGCTGTTTTGTCGCTGCTCGTGGCTCAGTAATAGGTGGCGTCTGACGTTGCCCGTCATTGGGGTCTATTTTTTATGGGTGCTACGCGATCACAGGTTTGTAGTTTGTCTAAGGGAAATCGATGTGAAATGCGTGCGGCTTTAACCAATCACCGTGATGATGTATGTGTGCGTGGGGGGGGGGGGGGAGGGGGCGCTACTGGTGCGTACGGCACCAGTCCAGCCTCGATTCGGAGAGCGACCACCATTGAACCTATATTCCTATTCCTATTCCTAAGGAATAGGTAATAGGATAGCCGGCCGCGATCGCCTCGTCCTCGGCCTTGGAGGACGGCCTGGCGGGCAGACTGGTTCCCTGACGTATCGGTCGTTGGCCGCTCACCTGATCGGCGGAGGCACTGGCGCCTCACCAATGAGAGACTGCTTGCTCCGCACACGGCCTGATGTACACAGATTGTGGTGCTGATGCTCGAAATCGCGGAAGCCGATACCCGTTAAAAAGGGGGCTGGCTGGTCGGCCCGCACAGTCGCAATTCCAAACCCATATTTTCTAGTGCTATTTAAAGCGATTCCATGCCAGTTGGAGGCCGGTCGTCATCATCGGCATCGGCCGTGGTGCTGTCACAATCTGCGGTGGCGCCCGTGTGATGCTTCACACTAGCTGTCGGCAACATCAAACCATCGAATTTGGGGTGTCGGTAGTGTAGTGGTTAACGCGTCTGCGTTAACCACTGCGCGTCTGGGAAACCGGTGGTACGGGGTTTGATTCCTCGCGGTGCCCGTCCTTCCTGCCAGGGTGAGAGGCAGGCGACGCCATAAACCCTCAGCAGTTGAGTGCGTCGTAAAGCCCCAATGACACACACACACACACACGCACACACACACACACACACACACACACACACACACACACACACACACACACACACACACACGCGCGCGCGCGCGCGCACGCACGCACGCACGCACGCACGCACACGCACACGCACACGCACACGCACACGCACGCAAGCCATCGAACTGGCCCGTGAGATACTGAGGTAGTTCGAGCACGCAACGTTAGCAAGGTAGATGAGTGGCAGTAGTTCAGAAAAGCTGGAATGTGATCATTTAATGTTAGTGTGCTCGAAAGCGTGAACAACGATGCGACTCGATTAATTACATATGCATGATATGCCAAGCACTTAACCGAAGTGTGCTCCAGGCAGAAGCTGCATGCTAGTGAAAGCTGGGAAGCTCTGCCGTGCAGCCTTCATGGTATTCCGTGCTGCGCTCCCTTCCTGCACTCGTCCGCCCGCCTGCGACACACGGCCTTCCAAGCGCCTGTGGCGCCGAGCGCTGCGGGTAGACGGCAGTGTCATACGGTGGAGAGTGCCACCTTCTCATGATGTCACGCCATCGCCTCCCCCTTCCTGCCGTCCTCTTCCCTCCCCTCCTCCCCATTCCAGCCTCGTTCTGTGTGCACGGCCTCTGGAGACTGGGGCGCCACCAGTCAGCGGCCGCAGGGCGAGGGCGAGCCTGCCCCGCCCTGCCGGCGGCGCACCAGGACTCGAGCGCGGCGTGACTGCGCTGCCCGGAGCATGGCGCTGCGCCACCGGCTGCGGGCTGTGGCAGACGGCTGTGGATGGTGATCACGGTAGTGATCGCGGCGTCTCTTCGTTGTGCGCCCGTGGCGCCAGGGCTGTCCGTGGCCTGCTCGTGGCGCGAAAGCTGCGACTGGCCGCTGTGGAGCGCGCTCGGCGACAGTGGCGGCCGGGCGGGCGTGAGACGCCTGGCACGATGGCGGCCGGGACGGCGGTGCGTGGGAACGTCGGTCAGGTATGGAGGCGGCCGGTGGGTGCTGCGTGGCCGCTGGTCCGCCGGCGGGGTGTCCTGCCGCTGGATGGACGTGGCCAGCCAGCAGACCGTTGAGCCGTGCCGGTGGAATAGGCCCGTGTCAGCCGTCTCCGCGTGAGACAGCTCGCAAGCATCAGCCGTGAGAGCTGTTCACGTGCGGTGGTAGGCAGTGCGACCCTGTGTACGGGCTCGTTCTACGGACGGTTAGCCTGGACGCTGGGATGGCTGCCGCCGGCGGCGGGACGAGCCAGCCTTAGCGGGCAGCCGGACGGCTGGCGCCACCTGGGCTCGGCCCAGCCGTCAGCTGACTGCCGCCGGCCCGGTCCGGCCGGAAGCCGGCCGCTTCCGACCGGTGGGGAGGCTTTCAGCAGCTCGTGGTGCTCCCGCTATCCGGGGGTCGGGTGTTAAAGTCGCTCTGGTCGTGACACCGACCATCATGACCCGTTCGCGAGTGATCGGCGGCGGTGCATCCGCCGGCATGACGCGCACGTGGGGACCACCGGTGGAGCGGTGTGTGGTCGGCGAGGGAACACCTGGGGCCGGCCGGCGGGCGATCGCAGCCGCCCCGCCCCCTCGCCGGCTCTATTTCTGTGCACGTGTCGCACGCCGAGCCTCATCATGTCGCCCGGGCGTGTTGTGCGCCGGAGCGTGTAAAAATACCGCCAGCCCCTGGACGGCTAAACGGGCGTGGAGCAGCGGCGTGAGCTCTGGAGCCCCGGCTGCCGGCCGCCAGCGGCGGCGGCTCGGGCCGGAGGGCACCGCCGGGCACCCGCACAACGCGGCACGCGCATCGCAGCGTATGGTCACCCGGCTAACCTGACCTGACCTGACGCGGACCGACTAGAACTGACCTGGTCGCCGTCGTGGTATAAACCTGACCTGATCACTGACGTGGTCTTGACCCGAGCTGACTTAATCACCTCTGCAGCGCACGCAGCGCGCGCCGACATAGGCGGGTCGGACGTGGTATGCTTCAGCCGCCAGCGGCACGCCGTGTGTCTCACACCGGCCGTGTCAGCTGGGCCGATACTGTTTGTTCCACCCTCAACACGACTAGGGACTTATATGGAATTGAATTGAATATACATGGCAGTCGTTAAGAAAGGATATATAAGAACAGTAGAAATGTTTTTACTTCGACGAATCTATGACCAAGGTCCGTGACCGAAATTTCATTCAAAATACGTCTTTCGTAACGGCTATCGCCATATAATTGCTGTAAGTTCGTCTCAGTTGAATTAGATATGAGCACGCCTTACATTTTATAAGCCCTATCATTTTAAAGTTATTTCATGAAACTGTGGTTTTATATATTGGTTTTGGACTCCGCAATTACCTAGAATAGGTGTACTCGTGTGGTGATTCAAAGACCTCTCAAAAGCCACAGCAAGCAGCTTCGCCAACTGCGCGCAATGGCTGCGGCGTGGACAGATGTGCTACGAAGCGCAGATCATCGCGGTCCACAGTGACCGATTGAGAATCATTTGACCCACTAGTAAAAGAACAACGGGAGACACGTCCCCCAGATTTGTCAAAGCGGGCCTTCCTTTTCATCGGTGTTGGCCTTAAGATATTCTTTTGCACCTGTCCCCTAAAAACACGGTTTTTGCCCAGGTTTTCCCATCAGATCGCCATCACCCCTGGAGTATGTGGGAGGGACCACACCGATGATTTGGCCCATTGAGAGTTTATTACTGAAACGTCTGCAATCTAGCTGCCGTCCCTTCGGTCAAATGCATAGAATGCAAGGCGATCATTTGGCGTGTCACGACTCGAGAACCGCATGTGAAACGTTCACCACAGGCAATCGTCATGGCGTTATATGGCCCGATAAAAATGCACCGATGTTATCTGGCGAAGAGACGCCGATTCATCTTCCAAATTATAGTTGGCACCACTTTCGTGACTAGGTCAGCATCCATCCAGCAAGCTGGGGATGTCCGTACCCCTGGTGCCGCTCTGGTGTCGCTCTAGCAGTTCACTGAAGCGACAAAGCTTATGAGAATTGAAAGCGCCTTTTCGGCGCTTCATCGGGCCCTAAGCCGCAGGGCCTGAGCTGCAGAGGGCAGACTCGCCAGCCTTCGAGACGGCAGCGGAGGGCGTGAAGGCGCTGCTCGGCTCGGCGACCGAACGTCTGCGGTGTGAGGTTCAGTCATGCGCTTAGTGGCCGCCGTCGGGCGGGCGCTGAGCCGCGGCCGTGACGCCCGCCAGTATTCGGATTTGGTGTTGTCCTGCACAGCGAAGTGTTGCGTTTCCTGGTGCTGTCGTGCTGTGCCGGTTGGAGCTGGCGCCGTGGCCGCGCCGGTCTCCGGGCCGCGGGCTGGTCTGCGGTCGTGCCGACCTGTCGTGACCAGCGGTGCGGTATTGTCTGTACTGGTCCCGGCGGTCGGGCACTGGGGGCGCCGGGCCGAGGCCAATGGCGCTGTCGCACTCACGCCCTGGCGGTGTGCCCGCCCACCGGGATGGGAACTCGGCCGGCGGCGTGGCGCCGGGTAGTGACGCCGGCGGCTTGTCTCCG